GGGCATGCCCCCAATGAACTAAGTTCCTTCCACTAGTCTCTCCCTCCTAAAGGTTCCACCATTTCATAATAGCACCACAGGCTGGGAATGAAGCCTTCAACACACGGACATTTGGGAGACATTCAAGATCCAAACTATAACAATTCTTCAGTGCCAAATTTATTTATTTATTTTTGAGAGAGAGAGAGAGAACTTTTAATATTTTATTTTTTAGTTTTCGGCGGACACCACATCTTTGTATGTGGTGCTGAGGATCGAACCCGGGCCGCACACATGCCAGGCGAGCTCGCTACCGCTTGAGCCACATCCCCAGCCCCTTCAGTGCCAAATTTAAAAGCAAATATCAAGAGTATTTAATTCAGCCAGGCATGGTGGCATACATCTGAAATACCAGCAACTTGGGAGGCTGAGGCAGGAGGATTCCAAGTTCAAAGCCAGCCTCAACAACTTAGCAAGGCCCTAAGCAACTTCGCGAGATCCTTTCTCAAAATAAAAAAGACTAGGATGTAGCTCAGTGGTTAAGCACTCCTAGGGCAATCCCTGATTTAAAAAAAAAAAAAAAGTATTTAACTCATATTTGGAATCACTGAAATAACACAAAATTAGAATTGACTAGAAGAGACATACACAAGTCTGGCTTAGGAAAGCTGGAAGGAGAAGATGATCTCAGCAGAGCCTGCTGAGAACCATCCTGGACATGGGACCTCATAGGTGACTGTGGTATTCACAGGTGCTTGTGAGCCTGACATCTGCCAGATTCTCCTTCCTGCCAGGTATCTCTCCTTCCCACAGCACTGCCAAGCCAGTCCATAGTAAACAGGTTTATCCAAGTATCTTTAAAGCTCAGAGCTGGAATGCTCTTGGAGAAGAGGTATGCCTGAGGCTCAGGGTGGGAATGGCCACCACCACACCCCACTCCACAGGGTTTATGCAGAGTGTGGCAGCAATTGTGGGTGAGGGCAAGAAGTAGGAGGCCAACAGTGGGGAGGTTGTGATGGTGAGAAACCTTCCAGGGAGGCAGCAGGAGTAGGACTGTGTGTGAGCCCAGGCTCCAAGTCTTCAGGACATGCTCCACTATTGCATAGGACTCCACAAAACAGATTCAAAGATAAAACTATTAAGAATTTCAAGATGGCAAGTTGGATTTGTAGCTCAGTAGTTGAGTGCTTGCCTAGCATATGTGGGCACTGAATTTGATCCCCAATACCACATAAAAATAAATAAATAATATAAAGGTATTTTTTTCATCCACAATTAAAAAAAAAAAAAGAATTTCAAGATGGCAGGCACAGTGTATTAAACCTTAAGTTCAGGGCCCCTCTAAGTACAGGTTCTTATTCAAACTGTACTGATAACACACTCAGGATGCCAATAGTTGGGCACGGTGGTACTTGGCTACAGTATTTGACAGATCCTTTTATCTCCAAAGGATACCTAAATACAGAAAGTGCTCCAGTGAAGGGGGTGGAATAAGCTCACGTGTTCCCTTTTACTCCTTGGCAACAAGCCTTCAGCTGTGCCCCTTTTCACCTTTTGCTCACTGTTGAGTGATCTGCTCATAGTTGACTGGCCTATGATCTTTTCTGAGAACATACTGGAATGTAAGTTCATAAATACAGTCAATTTCAACAGTTTCCCAAGTTGCTTACCTAGCCCAGGGCTGCCATACAGGGAGGCCGGCTATGATACTGGCCAAGCTTAGTTTGTCCCTGAAAGACTGGGAGGTGGGCATGGGGGAAGAAGAGATCTGACTCTCTGTGTAGCTGCTACCTGTAAAGCAATATGGAGGCCATCATTCTCGATATATTTACTAAGTTGGAGGAATGCAGACTGTTGACAATGAGCTTTTTCTTTGTAATAGCCCTAAGTTGTGCCTGGGGTAGGGTAGGGTGTTTTACTTGGACTGAAGGGTTTGCCTTGAGCATTATCTGGATTGTATTACAGAGGGTTATGTTCCCTGGTTCCATTGTTCAAGTGTAGTCATGTTTCATCAAGTGCCTTTCTGAGATTTTTCAACTTTGGACTTCTTTCCACATCTTGCACTTGAAGAGACCTCAGAGCAGCCTCATTGGTAACTGTCAACACAGCAGCTGGAGTCTGGAGGAAATATACCATCTCACTAATAAGTTGCGGACACCCAGCAGCACATGGTGCTCTTCTCTCTGGATGCAGCGGGATATAATCATGTTCATTAAAACTGTTCAACTCAGCCCTCCCCAGTCTAACTGGCAAAGGTGCTGAAATCTGAGAAAAGACAGATTAAGGAACCAAAGGAGGCAGGTAGCTTGGGTTTTAGTACTAGAAAGCAAAGCACAATAGCCTACCTGGCCCAGTGGAGCAGCTCCCTGACAGTAGTCAGGGACCAACCCTGGTAGGATGGAGCCCCACCCTGTGATTCATAGGTTGTGGTCTGTCCCACTATGCTAGCACTTGTTGAGACTCAGGCCTTAAAGTAGTAGTTCTGTGTGTGCTTAAATGTCTCCATCAACAATGAAGGCTGTCATCAACTCGGCAAGACCCCGTCTCTAAATAAAATATAAAAAAAAGGCTGGGGATGTGGCTCAGTGGTTAAGTGCCCCTGAGTGGTTCAGTCCCCAGTACCAAAAAAAAAAAAAAAAGAATGAAGGCTGGATTTGGATTTGTAGGCAACTAGGAACTTTTCTAATGCTATACATTTAGGAAGGCTTTGAAGGGAAAGCAACCAATCCTTTCTCTGTCCAACCTTGAAGTGTTTCTCATATTAAATGCCCAAGTCATGACCCCTTTAGCAAGAGTTCAAAGGGCCCAACCAAAGATAAAATTTACATTAAATAAAACAGCACATTTCTCCCTTTGTATTGTAGAGCTTAAAATGAAAAATAACCATATTCCAATGCTCTAGCAAACAATGCTGGGCTTTAAAGGACAGTGCAGGGGTGGCTAATGTAGGACAGCCCTTTACCTTTTTTTTTTTAAATATTTTAAAAATTTTTTAGTTACAGTTGGACACAATACCTTTATTTTATTTATAATTATATGATGCTGAAGATCAAACCCAGGGCCTCACACATGCTAGGCGAGTGCTCTACCGCTGAGCCACAACCCCAGCTCCATACCTTTTTTTTACCTTGGTGGATTGAATTTACATCATAAAATAATATCTAGTGTGTCAGGTTATTAGGAAATAAGAAATGGCCAAAATACATCTAGATAATCTCTGCTACAAATAATCATTTAAGGAGGAAGCTGTGGTGTAAAATATTCTCTGGGTAAATTAGCTTTGTTGGTTGCTCAGTTTCCTTATGTATAAAATGGAGATAGTAAATCCCAAATACCTCACAAGAGGCTGGATGCAGTGGTATGCACCTAATCCTAGCTACTTGGAAGACTGAGGCAGGAGAATTGCGAGTTTGAGGCCAGCCTCAGCAATTTAGCAAGACCCTATCTCAAAATAAAAATCTGAAAGGTCTTAGGATGTATCTCAGTGACATAGAGCCCCTGGGCTCAATCCCCAATATCCCAAAACAAAGCACCCAAATATCTCACAAGGTTGTCATGAGTACATAAAAAATATAGAAAAGTACTTTTTTTTTTTGGTACTATGGATTGAACCTAGGGGCACTTTATCATTGAGCTACATCCCTAGACATTTTTAATTAAGTTTGAGACAGGGTCTTGCTAAATTGCTGAGGTTGGCTTCAAAATTACAATCCTTAGCCTGAGGCTGTAGCTCAGTGGCAGAGCACTTGTCTTGCATGTGTGAGGCACTGGGTTTGATCCTCAACACCGCATAAAAATAAACTAACTAACTAAATAGATAAATAAATAAATAAAAGCATTCTGTCGATCTAAAACTACAAAAAAAAAAAATTGTGGGCTGGGGTTGTAGCTCAATGGCAGAGCGCTTGCCTTGCACATGTGAGGCACTGGGTTTGATCCTCAGCAATACATAAAACTAAATAAATAAAATAAAGACATTGTGTCCATGTATAACTAAAAAAATATTTTAAAAAAATTGCAATCAGGGGCTAGGGTTGTGGCTCAGTGGCAGAGTGCTTGCCTAGCATGCATAAGACACCAGGTTGGATCCTCAGCACCACATAAACGTAAGATATTGTGTCCACCTAAAACTTAAAAAAAAAAAAAATTGCAATCCTTCTGCTTTGGTCTCCCAAATTGCTAGAATTACAGTATGCAACACTGAACCCAGTTCTATTACTGGTACTTTCTGAAATACTTCCCTACGCACATTAATTTAACAAAACAAATATAAAGGTAAAATTTTAAAAATTGCTGTATTCAAAATTAATAATAAAATTAAGGGTAAACAGGCTTTAAAACAAAAGCACATAAGCAAAAATAAATAATTTACACCACCCCACTAACTAATTTTCATAGTAAAGCCCTTTCCAATTAAAGTACTGGCCACCAGCCTCTGTCAACTTTTTTTTTTTTTTGGTACCAGGAAGTGAACCCAGGGGCACTTAACCACTGAGCCACATTCCCAGCCTGTCCCCCGCCATTAAAAAAAATTTTTTTGGTAGTTATAGATTTATACCTTTTTCTTTCTTTATGTGGTGCTGAAGATCGAACCCAGGGCCTCACACATGTAGGCAAGCGCTCTACCCCTGAGCTACAACCCCAGCACCCCCAGCCCTTTTTATATTTTATTTATAGACAGGGTCTCACTAAATTGTTGAGGCTGGCTTTGAACTCTGATCCTCCTATCTCAGTGTCCTAAGCTGTTGGGATTACAGGCATGTGCCACGGCACCTGGCTTCTGGTGAAACTTTTGACAATTCATTATTTAAGAAACAAAAACAACAAAAACACTTAGTTGGTAGAGTGCTTGCCTTGCATGTACAAGGCCCGGGATTTGATTCCCAGCACCACAAAAACAAACAACCTGCCCAAAACCCTAATAAATGTGTCAGAATACATTCTACTGCCATGTATAACCCATTAGAACACATTTAAAAAAAAAAAAAAAAGTAACAAAAGACTGAACACTTAGTAAAATCTTTAACAAAACCCAAATGCTGGATTTAATGTTTTAATTTTAAATAACCAAACTTTATAATTCTATACATAATCCAATTAATGCTAATAAAATTAGCATTTAAGCTCCAAGGGTTGGTATGTAACAGGGATAGTCTTCAAACCATGAGATACAAATAAAAATGAACAAGTATATAGTAGAACAAAAAACTGCAGACACTCTACTAACTCAGGGAAATATCTGAAGGCTTTACATCCTTTATTGACCATGATGGCTTTTGGAATTATGATTGTTTGACATGTAGAACCTTGACATTTTAGATACAGGCTTTATTTTTTATTTTTTTCACAGTAAGTTAATAATCCATTATAACACTCTGAAAGACTTCACTGGTCTTGCAAGTGGATTCTAGGAGTTTGTGATCTGATAAAAGAGTAACATGAAAATTTACTGTATTGCCCTAATTTCATACTTCCTTGTACACAATGAATCACTTTGGGAATCTATTCCAAGGGTTATATACACAAAAGTGTCAAGAATAAAATGTTCTCCACTCTTGCATAAAAATGTGTACAGTGTATCAGGAATGGAAAACTTCTGGTTTTCCAGGGCCCGGGCTTCAGGCATTTCTGCTGCCAGAAGATGGGATTTCTGCTGCCACAAGATGAAAGGCTCCTTCTGCTTTATTGCTTCATTGTTTTGAGGATTAGTCATCCAACCCTGGCGTTTCCCCTTGTTGGATCCTAGATGCTATTCTAATGGCTTCTTCTAGAGATGGCTGTTCTCCAAGCTGAAAGAGGAACATACACACCAAACACTAACAATCCAAAAGCCACAGCCAAGATAATGCTGAAAGAAATGTTATATGCCAGAAGTGAAATGTCTCTCTGTAATTTTAGGGCTTATTAAAAATATTATTCTGACCTAATCATTTAGAGTACAAAACCAAATTTCTGTGGGGGGGAATAATGCAGTTTGTTTATTTGGGATTTTGATAAATTCTTTATACATTTCAAGGGACAAAAGGTAGTCATCTTGGCCAGTCTGGAGATGAAGAACTTCTCAGACTGTTAGCTTCTCTACCCATAAATTAAAGAAAACTAACCTGGCATGTTGGCTGGCATTTTCTTGAGTGTGTTCCAAACCCTTTATCAAGTAAACACATGGAAGAAAATTGTCCCCAAGGAAAGGATATCTGCACCTAGCATCCAGGATTCTAGATTCTCTACTTGAATCCAGTGACTTTTCCCAGAGAGTAGCTCCTTGCAGGTCTTCTGACATTCCCCACTTTAAAAGGGGGGCAGTGCAGGGATTCTCAGAAGACTAATTTAGGATCTGTGTTTATACTAGGTTCACCTCCAAGAGTAGCTCTTAAGAACTTTACAAAATACTGCCTAGTTAGACTTTTATTTTGATAGTAAAGATGGCTGGTTGGGTACACACAGGGACACATGCCTGAGATATTTTTCTTGCTATAAATTTCTCAAGAATATGCAGAGGTAGTAAAGAACAAAATGTTAGTCTCTTTGAGATCACCTCAGATATAGAAATTTTCTTAAAGTAAGCTAGGTATCCAGATATGTCTGTGTCCTGCTTTTGTGTGGGTCACATATAAAGCCCAGTGTCCTGGGTTGAGAGCTATGAGTATCACTGCTGTCAGCTGAAAATAGCCTGTCCTTGTACTCACCTGAACTGCAATCTGGGTGCCATTGGATGTTGCCACTAAGGTCAGAGGTCTGGTTTCTGTGGTTACTAAATGATGGCTATGCTGCTGGTGCCCTATTTCTGATGAGGCTGTATGGAATGCTGCCAGGTCTTGAGCAACAATTGCAACCTTAAGTAAAACAAAGCACACATGAAGACTTAAGTCTATGACTCAAATAGGCTGAAGTCCATTTAATGCAAGGGATTGTCTTTAAATTCAAAAGGAAATACTCCTTTCTGATCATAGAATTATGAAGCCTATCACTGGAGGAGACCTTATACTATCCATTCTGGATTTTTTTTTTTTGGTACCAGGGATTGAACTTAGGGGTATTTAACCACTGAACAACATCCCAGCCCCATTTTGTATTTTGTTACAGACAGGATCTCACTGAGTTGCTTAGCACCTTGCTTTTGCTGAGTCTGGCTTTGAACTCAATCCTCCTGTCTCAGCCTCCTGAGCCACTGGGATTACTGGTGTGCACTGCCAGGCCTAGCTTGGACTCCTCTCTTGTATTTGAGGAAGTTAAGGCTCAGAGAGAAGGAATTTGTTTACGTTTATGAAGTGAACCATTGGCAAAATAGAGTAGAGGACACTGGAGAAGTAGATCTGCTGTACTAGGGATATGTGGTTGTACTTAGGATCTATTACCTGGAAACAACTGCTTGGAAAATTATATTGGTAGACTACATTACAAACGTTATTTATTTCTGAGTGTGGATCAGTGGTAGATAATAGACTATTTTCTCCTGTTAACCTGTTTCATTTAAAATTAAATTTCCATTTTTTAAAATATTTGTTTTTAGTTCCAATTTCTTTACATCTTTGCTAACATTTTTTTTTTGGGGGGGGGGGGGGGGGTGTTGTATAATAGACATCCTAATGGGGGTGAAGTAAAAGTTCACTTTAATTTTGATTTGTAGTTCCCTAATGATTGATATTGAACATCTTTTTATGAATTTCTTGGCCTTTTTTTTTTTATGTCTACTTAAGTTCTTTGCTCATTTTTAAGTTGGGGTTTTTAGTGTTGTTGTGCAAATCAGAGATGATTTGCAAATCAGAGATATGATTTCCAAGTATTTTGTAGGCTATCTTTTCACTCTCTTGGTAATAGTAATATCCTTTTTTTAAAAAAAAAATATTTTTTTAGTTGTACATGGACACAATACCTTTACTTATTTTTATCTGGTGCTTAGGATCGAACCCAGTGCCTCACACGTTCAAAGCGTATGCTCTACCACTGAGCCACAACCCCAGCCCTTGGTAATATCCTTTTGATGCACAAAAACTTTTTTCTTTCCAGTGCTAGAGATTGAGCCATGTTAGGCAAGTGCTGTACTGCTGAGCTACACTTTGATGAAACACAATTTATCTATTTTTTCCCTTTCATTGTCTTATGCTTTTAGTGTCATGTAAGAAATCACTGCCTAGTCCAAGGTCATGAAGATTTTCATCTATTTTCCTCTTAGAGTTTTACAGTTTTTGCTCTTAAATTCAGATCTTGATCCACTTTGAATTATTTTTTGTACATGGCATAAGGGCACAATTTCATTCTTTTGCATGTGGATATCCAATCTTCCCAGTACCATTTGTTGAAAAGACTATCCTTACTCCATTGAATGGTCAGTTTAAAAAATGTATATATATATATATTTTTTAAACTGTGGATGGACATAATACCTTTATTTTATTTATTTTTATGTGGTGCTGAGGATCAAACCCAGAGCCTTATACTTGCTAGGCAAGTGCTCTATTACTGAGCCACAACCCCAGCCCTCAATTTTTTAAAAAATATTTATTTTCTTTTTTTAGTTGTAGGTGGACACAATACCTTTATTTTATTTTTATGTGGTGCTGAGGATTGAACCCAGTGCCTCAGGTGCCAGGAGAGTGCTCTACATTTGAACCACAACCCCAGCCCTGAATGGTCAATTTTTAAGCAGAGACAGGGGGTATAACTCAGTGATAGAGTGTGCTTAGCATACATAAAGAAATGGGTTTGTTCCTATGCACTAACCCAAAAAAATTAAGAATGGGAAATGCAGTAGTGGGAGGGGAAGAAGGAGAGGAAAAGGAGGGGACTGAGTCAGGAAGGACTTCCCAATGAATATACAAAAACAGCTGTAGCCAATTTAAGGATTAAAGTAATTCACAGGTTATGTCCAAACATCCCAGAAGCCAACATTTGCCCAAAGACCTACCGCTGCAGCTGCTGCAGCAGCCAAAGGAGTAGTCCTTAGGTGAAACCCCCACCCCTTGTGTTATTTTCTTTTGCTGGAAACTGCTTGGTTTCATTCCAGTTTTCAAAGTCTCATCTCCTGATTAGTTTCCATACTCACAAGTCTATAGACAATCTACATAAGAATGCTTGCCTTAGGGTCTGGACTTGTAGTTGGTACAAGGTATATTTACCCAAGCTGGGTTATAAACCCATCCTGGAATCTTTGAACCAAGGAAATGACTGCAAACTGATTATTAGGTGGGACCTCCTGTTCACAATATAGCCCGAAGGCAAGTACCTGTGCTTTGTTTTGGTCTCTATAGTAAAAAAAGGAATGAAAAAAAAATGGACAGATGTTAGGTAGTCTGTTGAATTCTGACACTTAAATACATCTCTAAAACCACTACCTAAAACAAAATCTGGAGTAATTTTTTCATATTCTACTTAATCAATTTCCCTCCAAAATGGATTAATTCTGTCTGTCCATAGTTCATATAATCATACAATATGTATCCTAGTGGAATTGCTGTGTTATAGAGTAGAGATGTTTGACTTAATTTTTAGTACTAGGGATTCAACCCAGGAGAACTTACCCACTGAGTTTCATCCCCAGTCCTTTTGGTCTTTTATTTTGAGACAGGGTCTCACTAAATTGCTGAGACTGGCCTCTAACTTGCAATTCTCCTGCCTCAGCCTCCCAAATTACACATGTGTGCAATGGCTCCTGGCAATAGAATCATACGATATGTGTTCTAATTGGAGTTGTTGAATCATAAAGTACAGAGTTCTTTGATTTTATAAGAAAACTACCAAATGACTCAGATGGATGTTTTATTTTATACTCCCACTAGCTGCTTTACATCCTTGTCAACATTTGGTTTTAGATTTTAGCCACTGTCTTGAGTCTAAGATGGTATCTCATAGTGATTTTTAATTTGCTGTTTCTTCCCTCCATCCCTTCCTTTCCTTCTGTGCTGGCGATCAAACTCAAGGTTTCTGCTAGATAAGTGCTCTACCCTTACCCCCTTATTTTGTATTTCTTTGATGAACAAAAATGTGGAGCTTTTTTTTTTGCATTATAGGTCATACATAGACTATATCTTCTTTGGGGAGAAGTCTGTTCAAATAAAGAATATAAATAGAATGATCTGTACATTTAAAAATTTAGCAGGTGTGCCTGCAGATGCCATAATGTCAGCGACTTGGGAGGCTAAGGCAGGAGGATCACAAGTTCAAAACTCAGCAAGGCCCTAAGCAACTCAGCAAGACCCTATCTCATAAAAAATAAAAAAGGGCTGGGGATGTGGTTTAGCGTTAAAGATCCCGTGGTACAAAAAAAAAAAAAAGTTTAAAAAGTTTTCATTTTTGTTCATTTTTAAGGGGCTGTTCATCTTTTTATTGTTGATTTGTAGCTGTTATTTATTATTTATATACATATATAAATTTTTAAAAAATCTTTTCCCTGTCTGAGGGATATCTAATCCTTACCTTACATTGCCTTAGTGAGCAGAATTAACTTTAAGTCCAATGTATCTGTTTTTTTTTTTTCTTTTTCCTTTTGTTAGTGCCTCTTATATTCTGTCCAAGAAATCTTTACCCCGAGGTTCAAAAATATTTGCCTCTCTTCTAGAAGTTTTATGATTCTGAGTTTTGCATTTCAAGGTATATAAGACCTCCAACTTTGTTCTATTTGGGAGGCTAAAGTGAGAGGATTTCTTGAGCCCAGGAGTTAAGAGAATTGCCTGGGCAACAGCAAGATTCTGTCTCCCTGTCTCAAAAAAAAGAGAAGAAAAAAGAAAAAAAAAGAATGTTTTGGCTTTATAGGTTCTTTTGCATTTTCATGTGAATTTTTTAAATCAGCTCAACTCATCTAAGCCAGGTGTGGTATCCCACACCTGTAATCCCAATGACTTGGGGCTAAAGCAGGAAAATTGCAAGTTTAAGGCCAACCTGGCCAATTTAGTGAGATCCTGTCTCAAAGAAAATAAAAAGGGCTGAGGGTATAGCTCAGTGGTAGAGTGCTAATCAAGCATGCAGGAGGCCCTGGTTCAATCCCCAGACTGCAGGGGACATACTGTTCAGGCAGTTCTGGGAACCATGACCCAGCTTTTGGATAAGAATCTTGGAGGTCAGTAGGTCCGAGCTGACTCAGAGACATTTCTTCCACAGAGGACTAGAGTGTGGACTAGCTGGGTGTGTATGGCTTTGTCTGTGTTTCTCTTTTGGGTTTGGGCATACATCTTGTCTCACTGAACGAAAACTCTGTGGGCACAGACTGTCCTTTTTACCATTTTGCTCCTTGTATGTCGCATGCAGCTGATGCTCAATAAACACTCATTGAAAGACTATGTCCAAAGATTCTCTCTAGGCTCCCTAAAAGCTTTCTCTGGATGAGTCCACTTCAATCTTTTTTTTTTTTTAACCAGGGATTGAACCCAGGGGTACTTAACCACTGAGCCACATCCCCACACCTTTTTATATTTTATCCTGAGACAGGGTCTCTGTGAATTGCTTAGGGCCTTGCTAACTTGCTGAGGCTGGCTTTAACTCACAATCCTCCTGCTTTAGCCTCCCAAGTCTCTGGGATTACAGTATGTGCCACTGTGCCTGGCATTCATTTCAATCTTTTTTTAAATTTTGTTTTGGTGGTGCTAGAGATTGAACCCAGGGCCTTGTGTATGCAAGACAAGTACTCTACCAACTGAGCTATATCCCTAACCTTCCATTTCAATCTTAATAGTAAGAAATAGAGAAACAAGATGGTGGAATACAAGTACCCTCCATGTGACTCTGCGAGTGAGAGGAGTCAAGATAACAAAGGAGAAACCATATACTGAGGAGAGAAAGAAAAGAAGAACTTTGAGAACCAATACACAGTGACAGGAAACCTAAACAAAAAGGTTTAGGA